AAGGAAGGATTTAAGGAAGGAAGGAAGAAGAAAAGGGAGGGAAGGAATTGAAGGGAAAGAGGGAAGGAATGAATTGGGAAAGGAAGGAAAGAGGTAAGGAAGGAAGGAGGGAAGATGGAAGGGAGGAAAGGAAAGAAAATGGAGGGAAGGAAGGAGTTAAGGAAGAAGGGAGAGAAGGAAGGAAGGATTTAAGGAAGGAAGGAAGAAGAAAAGGGAGGGACGGAAAGAGTTGAAGGGAAAGAGGGAAGGAATGAATTGCGAAAGGAAGGAAAGAGGTAAGGAAGGAGAGGGAGGGAGGGAGAGAAGGAAGGAGTTGGGAAAGGAAGGAAGAAGCTAAGGAAGGAAGGAAGACATGCAGAGAAGGGCTGATAAAGTAACCATTCCTTTTCCTGCATTTCCAGCGGTTCCGAAGTCCGAGTGTTGCTGTTCAACGTGACGGGAGACCGGGATACGGCGGCTTTGCTGAAACTTTTGCTGGTGAGCGATTTTTCTCCTTTCCACGGCCTCCCCTTCCCTCCAGGTTACAAGCGGTTCCTTAAGGATAGCACCCGAAATGGGACAACCGTGCTAAAACCTGACTGACTCCCGCTTCCCCGTTTCTGTGTTGCAGCCCTGCCATTTCGACTACGCCGTTTTCTGTCCCAACTACACCGAGGTGTCGACGCTGGGAAACGCAGGTCGGTGTTGAGGGGAAGGGGGTGGGGGTGGTTTTAACTCCGCGGCCGCCTTTTTTAAAATCAAATTTATAAGTATAAACAATTCACCTTCCATTTAACGGTGTGTGGTCCTGAGTACAAGTATCTTGTGCAACAATAATCAAAATGCCTACAACGTTCGTTGTGTTATGTTTGCAGCGTGACTGCTATTGTGAGTCAACCCAGGAGCAAAACACAGCACGCACAGAGTCTTTTTTAGTAATGGTTTATGTACAAGACTGCTATATACATATAGACACGTGGTAGGCACATACCAGGCAAGGAATCAGCCTTCGTTACTCTGCACGGAGAGCTGCAATGGAGATAGAACACAAGGAGAGAGAGATATGCCTTCTCATGGCCTCCCTTATGTCGACAGCTTCTTAAAGGGGCAATAACCCTGCTGACCCATCCTCAGTCTTAAAGGGGCAATAACCCTGCTGACTCATCCTCACTGCATCAGCATTTACAGCCTTACAACAGCTGGTCAGCTATTAATACCTTAACACATTAGTATTAGTTTTCCATTGTTAGCTTATTATTAAATAAATACCTCTTACACTATAACAAGAAACATGTTGCTTTTGAAGTCCACGGCCTTCCTGATGTTGTTTGCAAAATACGCGGGCTTGGAGACGTGAGGAGGGGGCCTCGTTCTGACTTCTCGCCTTCCTTCCTTGTTTAACTCTTCTGCAGATCAGCAGAATTTCAACGTCACCTTGGAGAACGTCCTGACCCGTTGCCTGCAGAACCAGAACCACTGGAACCGGCTGATGGAGGCCAAGTTGACCCAGGACCCTTGGTTCCCCGTCTTGCCCGAGGTGGGGGGCTGGCTGAAGCAGCCCCCGCTTCACAGCCCTCCCATCTTCGCGGCCTCCTCCGCCCGCCCGCTCAACTCCAACTCTTTGGTTTTCCCTTGCATCTCGCACGCTTTGCAGTGGATCAGTCAAGGCCGGGACCCAAACTTGCCAGCCCTAGCGCCCCAGGGACTCCACCCGCACCCCGTGGCCAGCAGCGGGGCTGTTCTGCTTAAGGAAGCCGTGGCCATCCGTGTCCTCGTGACGGGCAGTCTGCATCTGGTCGGGGGCGTCTTGAAGTTGCTGGACCCCACCCTTTCTCAGTAGGCCCGTGGGAACTCCACCTTCTGCCGACCTCGGAACGGGCAGCGGAAACCTTGATGTCCCGCTCCTATCCGTGGTGTGGCACCATGAGGCACATCCAGCCATGCGATTCCCAGGAGGTCCAGGTTGAATTCTCAACCAAAGTGAGTTGATCTCCAGAGAACTCTTGTTGGTGGCATCTGCCTGATGGTTGAACGTTGATGGTTGAACCACTGGAGGTCCAGCTATTCCACAAGCTTGAAGACATGGTCCTTCTTCTCATAACCAAGTGAGGACCTCCTTGTGGCGTCATCCATCTCCTCCTCCTCCTCATAACCAAGTGAGGACATCCTTGTGGAATCAACCATCTCCTCCTTCTCATAACCAAGTGTGGACATCCTTGTGAGGTCCACCATCTCCTCCTCCTCATAACCAAGTGAGGACATCCTTTTGGAATCAACCATCTCCTTCTTCTCATAACCAAGTGAGGACATCCTTGTGAGGTCCACCATCTCCTTTTTATAACCAAGGAGGATATCCTTGTGAGGTCCACCATCTCCTTCTTCTCATAACCAAGTGAGGAGATCCTTGTGAGGTCAACCATCTCCTCCTCCTCCTCATAACCAAGTGAGGACATCCTTGTGTGGGTCAACCATCTCCTCCAGCCTCAAGCAATGGACCGGGTGCTTCCACATGTGATATTCCTCAGCACAACCGAGGCAAGATACAGGCCACCACCGCCTCTGAGACTCCTGTGCCTTCTCAACTCACTCACCATGTCCCGTTCAATGTTCCTCCCCATTTTCCGCCCCCGTCTTTTATCACTCGCTGCCTTGATCCGTTGGGCTACCCTCGGGGGGTGGGAGGAGACAGGGACGCTGCTACTCGCTTGTCACAAACGGTCCCCTCCTTTGAGCTCCTCATCTCAGCCTCTGGGCCCCGTTTTTGGGGTGGCGGACCTCCAAAGAGACCAGTCTTAACTGGGGTACAACGCTTCTGCATGCTTGGTGCCCACCACAGTCCAGACGAAGCAGGCTTAGCCAGACGCACAGTAGGACATTGACCGGTTTTGGGGTGTGTGTGTGTGTGTGTGCGTGGGGTGTCCCTGGGCTGACCCCCCCACTTGAGATTCAAGTGCCTTTTTTGGGGGGGGGTGGAGAGGAGAGAAAGAGTCACTATGTTCTTCCAACGAGCTGCCAAAGCTCTGTCTGATTTCTCAGTAATGTTGGGGATTGTGGACCAAGCATTTCAACCTCCCCCCACAACCTTCCCTTTTCTGGAATTGGACTCCACCGTTGCCCACATCCTTTCTTATTCAAACTTTGGGGCGGCCGGACTACGTCTCCCATCTTCCTTCCCTCTAGGCAGGGTTGGCCGTGGCTGATGGGAGGTGGTGTAACAGTTCCCGCAAGTCCAGCTGCTTCAATCCACTGGGAGAATCCTGCAGTGGGTTTGAGGTGTGGGCGGCTGCCTGCGTGGAAACCTGATCCACCACGTTGGCAGCCGTGCCTGGATCGACCTCCCCTTAATTTTGAGGGGGCTTTGGGTGTTCTTAAGAGGCTCCCCTGGTGGCCCAAACTTTTCCTGTCTTCTTTCTGCAAATACTTTGGGTTAGGAACTCTTGACCTACAAGGTCCCTTTTAATTAATTAATTAGTCCCCTCTGTTAATCTGTAAACTGCTGGAAAGCTTCGTTTTTGTTTTTTTTAATCCCTTGTGGGCAGTGAGAGTAATGAAGGGAGGAAGACCAGTAGTTAACTTAGGTTCTCCTTTCAATTTTCTTTCCTTTTCCTTTTCTTCCCTTCTCCCTCCTTCCCTCTTTCTTTCTTTTTCTTCCTTTGTTCCTCTTCTTTCTTTCTTTCTTTCTTTCTTTCTTTCTTTCTTTCTTTCTTTCTTTCTTTCTTTCTTTCTTTCTTTCCTCCCTCCCTCCCTTCCTTCCTTCCTTCCTTCCTTCCTTCTTTCTCTTTCTCTTCCTTTGTTTCTCTCTTTTTTTCTCTTCCTTCGTTCCTTTCTCTTCTTTCCCTCTTTCTTTCCTTCCTTCCTTCCTTCCTTCCTTCCTTCCTTCCTTCCTTCCTTCCTTCCGTCTTTCTCTTTTTCTTCCTTTGTTCCTCTTTCTTTTTTCTTTCTCTTCCTTTGTTCCTTTCTCTTCTTTCTCTCTCTTTCCTTCCTTCCTTCCTTCCTTCCTTCCTTCCTTCCTTCCTTCCTTCCTTCCTTCCTTCCTTCCTTCCTTCCTTCCTCCCTCCCTCCCTCCCTCCCTCTCTCCCTCCCTCCCCCTCTCCCTCTCTTTCCATTTTCCATTCTGCCCTGTTGCATTTATATTTCTGTTTTAAGACTTTGCTTCAAATCTAATGAAGTCCCTTTCGCCCCGCAAAAAAAAAAAAAAAAACGCCAGAAGAATGCTAATCTTGGATTAAACCCTCTTTTTAAGCAATGTTATGCCTGCCTCTCCAAATTGCATAAAAATGGGGGTTAAATTGCCCCTAGATTCCCCCTCCTCCCCCAACGCCCTTCGGCCTCCCCTTCTAGAGGGGGTTTCACATTTCTCTTCCAGGATCTCAAGAGATGCAAAAACGGCCTCATGTTTTAAGCAGCCAGTTGCTGGGCGTACATTCTCCAAATATCTTGCAAATGGAACATGCAAACTCTGTTTTAATTCCTCCCTCCCTCCCTCTTGAATTTGCAAGCCATTTAACTGGAATCTTGTCTTGCACTGATGCAATTCTCGGCTGTTGTTTTCTCTCCCAGGGTGGGTGGGTGGATGGAGTGATCTTGTGACTTACTCAGAGCACCGAACAGATGACTGTTATTTTAAAAATAATAATAATTTTCCTGCCTCCCTAAGATCCCTTTCTCCCAGCCAACTCCCCAAGGAGCAGGAAGCGTAGATCATGCTGAATTTATAAAAGTAATTTATCAAAGAAAATGTGGTTTTATTTTACATTGTTTACAGCTCTTTTTAAAAGTCTTAATTTGTTCTCTTTTGAACGTTCTTTGTAAAAAATAAAATAAAATATGAGCGTTAAGTTTTGGAATAGTGGGTAGAAGGGAGAAAATAAACAGAGACTCGGATCCCAAGCAAATAAATGCTCCAAATGAATAAATTAAACACGACGAATTGGAATTCTTTGCTTATCTGTTGCTGTATATTTCATGCTTTATAACGGGAACTGGGATGTGCATTTTAAAAACCATCCAACAGGGGGCGCTTTGGCAGGGAGAAAGCCTGAAGAGAAACGCCTCCAGGGGGGTGACAAAAGGCTGCTATACACAAAATATATATTTTTTTGCATCTGTCAATCAAACCCAGGCAATTTCCGAGCCTTCCAGCATCTGTATTTGCAGCTGGAGCCATTGCTGGGCTCTTGATCGGAAACGCATCTGGTGGGATGTTGCTAGATGTGACTCAATTTCCCCTGTGGGCTCTCCCCGCCCTCAGTTTATGGCTTCTGAGATCCTCTGTTAGCCCCTCCGAGGAATTTTAAAAATAACAACAACCAGAACTGATAATGGTGAGTAGGCACAGTATTATTTCCCTGTATACGGTTTACAAAATATATTCTATGTAAAGTTATTTATATACGTACAATTATATGTCTTTCAGAAGAGAGGTGGCCCTCAAGTCCTTTTCCAACGAGGAGGAATGCTAAAACCTATTTGCTCTTTCCCTACAAACGGGCTGAAGTGAGTATAATTCGGATTAATTCTCGGGTGGCCCATTGGTGCGTGAACCCAACCAAGCAGGGTGTGGAAGGGCCCAAAATGCAGGGATATGATTTGCCATTATCTTGAGGGGGCTGCAAAACACACAGGAAATGTGGGAGACCCCCTCCTGCATTAACTCTGACTTATAACGGAGTTGGAAGGGACCTCGGAGGCCTTCTAGTCTAACCCCCTGCTCGACTCTTGCTTCTTCTATCTTGAAAGGTTGCTATGATGCCAATTTTTAAGGTAGGGGGGACTTTGATGTTCTCCTAAGAAGAAGTGGATATTTTTCAGGTGGGCACTCATCCCATGATCCCCAGCATGTTCACTCTTGAAAGTTGATGGGACTCGGAGTCCGGGGGCAATCGGGACCATGCCACTGGAAGGCCAACTCCAACAGAAAAGGGAACGTATTTCCTGGCGTTACCTGGGTTTGATGACCCGTGGAAGAACCTCTGTAGCTGATGGCCCAGGAGCCCTGGCCGTCACCCCACCAGCAAAGTTGGATCTATCATAGCTGGAGGACAAGACACACGAGAAGGTAACTTCTCAATCTTACGGGGGTTCCCGATTCAGACAATACTTTTGTCTCCGGGGTTTTAGCCAAGAGACAAAGCAAACCTTCCATAAACCTAGTTCACCCTGGTTTCTTTTGGAAGTGAGATTAGCTGCTGCTGTGGTTAAGGAATTAGCAAAAGTCCATAGAGTCTCCCGCTTACAACCTGATGCCTAACACAAGAAGAGTCTAATCCAACAGCCCAACCTTGAAGACCTTGGGAACAATGGTCACATTTATGGGGGATCCAATGGCTAGTCTCAGATTAAGGGGCTGGGACCCCCGTGCCCCTCAACCCATCCCGATAGTTTCCAAGAAGTTGCTGGCTGGAAACGCCCAACGTTTCGATGTCGGAAGAAGAAGAAGAAGTCCCCGCTGGCTTGGAGGTGAACGTTCTTCACTAGCCTTGGAACCCAACCGCTCTGCAGTCCAGATGCTTTCCCTCTGTAGGAAGTCCTTGTGGCTCCCCTGTTTTTTTAGGGGGCTATGCCATGCTGCTGGTGGAACAAGGGGTGCTTTGAGTGCTGCCCAAACTGTGGTTGGTGCTGCTGCTCTCCGATGCAGGCGGGTTCGCCGAGGCTGGTTGGGTTTTGGTGATGGGACCTGGAATGGGGTTGAAGTCACACAAAGGGTGAGGAGAATTATGTTAGGGGAAGGACCAGGTGGAGAGAATTCTAGAGTCCTTTGCTGCTCTCTTGAGTTGAGTTGAGTTAGTTTGCAGATGGGTCACGACCCATCTAGATAGCATCACGGATACCAGGTAAAGAGAAGGACTACGGGCGACATGATAGCACCTGGTAGTGAGTGGGAAACTTACAATTTCTAAGGGGCTACTACAAAGAAGAAGGGGTCAACCTATTCTGCAAACCACCAGAAGGTAGGATGAGAAGCGATGGGTGGAAACTAAATCCAGGAGAGAACCAACCTAAAACTATAAGGAGGAACTTCCTGAATAATGAACCAGTGGAACTACTTCCCACCAGAAGCTGTGGGTGCTCCATCCCTGGAGGTTTTAAAGAAAAGATTGGCCAAGCATTTGTCTGCAATGGTGCTGGGTCTTCTGCCCGAGCAGAGGTTGGAGTAGAAGACCTCCAAAGTCCCTTCCAACTTTGTCATTCTGTTGATGTTCCCTAGTTGGGTGATGAAACATCTGTTGATGTTCCCTAGTTGGGTGATGAAACATCTTCAAACCAACTCAACTCAAAAAAAGCAGCAGGGATCCCTCAACTCAACCCCGAGCTACAGACACTGTCTTCTGCTGGGGAAAATTTTCCCATGCTGGGACCCTAACTGGGAGCTGACAAGGAGACAGAAAGCACATGGCGGGAAGCTCTTGGCTTTGCCAGATCCCAACGGGGTTGACCAAATGCTTTCCCACTGCCTTCTCCAGCAGGGGGTGAACCTTGCCAGACCCATCACAAGAAAGCAGATAAAGATTTCAGGGATGGCGGCTCCTCCATTTTTGCAGAGATTATTAAGGAAAATATGCAGGTTGGGCTGCCAAGGGGGACCGGATGTCTCCTGTTGGGAATTGGGAGGGGAAGACGGGAGAATAAAGATAAGGGTTTCCCGCAGGGAAAAACGGCAAATTCCATCCTTTGCATCTCCAGATAACGCTGGGAAAGAGGGCTAGTCTAATTCTCCTGCTCCACTCGGTCATCTTGAGTTAAACCGGTGGCCGGAGAGCTTGGGATGTTTCCATTAAAATTGCGTTCCTCCAGAATTTTCTTGAGAAAAGCTCTCCGCTCCTCCATTCACAGTAGAATCCCTTACGCTTCCCGGCTGGAAATTTGGGGCCCGGACAATCTGGAACTGCCGTTCCAATCTAAGCATAGCGCACAACATTGTCTATTACAACGTCTTGCCTGTCAATGACTTCTCCAGCTTCAACCACAATAACGCACGGGCAAACAACCGATACAAACTCAAAAGTAGACCGCTTCAGACTCGATTGCAGAAAATACAACTTCAGCAACAGAGTGGTCAGTGCCTGGAACGCACTACCTGACTCTGTTGTTACATCCTCAAACCCCCAAAACTTTAAACTGTCTACCGTGGACCTCACCCCATTCCTAAGAGGTCTATAAGGGGGCGTGCATAAGTGCGCCAGTGTGCCTACTGTCCCTGTCTTACTGTCCCCGTTTATCTATATCTACTTCCTTTGTTCCTGTTTATGTTCCTACCTACGCTTGTTATCTTGTACGTGTTTGACAAACAAATAAAATAAAAATAAATAAGAATCATGAGGACTAGCGACCACAAAGCAGAAATCCAATTTCTGGTGCCCGCAAACAACCTCCCCTTGGGTTGTTGAGCTCTGACCTCAACATTCACCTCTAAGGGGGGGGGGGTTCACCTGGGTTGGGTGCCATTCCCCCCCCACCCCTTTCCATCATGCAAACAACCACAACTTACGAGTGTGAGAATAGATGTACCACAATGCTCCGGTGAGCAGGACTCCAATCAAAAATGCTCCAAAGGCAATTCCCAGCACAGTGCTAATCCTCAATCCTTCATCTATAGAGAAGAAATGAAAGAATTAGATTAGCTTTATTTATTATTTTAAAATATATATGTTTTATCGATATATTTTTTTTCTTTTGTAAACATAAAAAAAACATCTATATGAACAGCGTGTTGTCTGAGCACAATTTGTTCTGAATGACAAAAAGACAATAAACATAATATGCATATCGCTAATAATGGTCACATAATATTATTGACATTAGTTTATCCATACTAGAAAAGGTCTGTTATGTGATTCATCATTCGCTTAAGGACCATATGGTTCGCTTAATGATGGCGGCGATTCCCATCACAGGTTGCAAAAGGAGACCCGAGTCCCTTTAACAACCGTCTCGCTTGGCAATGGGGGGTGACCAGGGCAGTCCAAAATTCCTCGCTTCGCAAGAGACATCCCCATCCTGATTGTGGTTGTAAATTAAGGTCTGCCTGTCCCTCTCTGTTGTGGTTAGCCGGCCGCAGGTGCGGCCGGCTGAGAAGAGCGAGGACTCAGATGAGGGGCCAGGACCATTAGCCTTTGGAGATTGTGGGGACTGGCAGCCGCGATGAGGAGGTTCCCGAGGAGCCTGTGCCCAGTGCGTGCAGGATTGCTCAGAGGAAAGAGCAGCTGCAACAGCACGGGCAACTCGGGAGTAAGGCTGCAAGGTAATGGCTCTCCTTCAAGAAGATAAAAGCCAGGTTTGGAGAAGCGTTCTTTGCAGAAGGCAAAGACGCCCTGAAACTCAGCCTCGTGGATATTATATTATATTTGAAAACTCTTGTAAACGGTTTCTGATCTGTTGTTTTTTGTCAGACTTGAAAAAACTTGGCAAGGATCTTTCTTGTCGGAGCTAATTAGTTGGAAGCAGCCTTTTATCTGTGAAGAAACAGAATTCGTGAATGAAACCTTAAAAGGTGGGGGCCGCTGCCTTTGTCTTGTATTTCTCTCTTGGAACCAGGTTGGGTCAGAACACGCGCTCGCTGTGAAGTTCGGTTTGTTTGTTTTCTCCCCAAGTGACACCTTTTTTAAGACCAGTTTCTCCCGAGACTGTCCTGTGCCAAAAAACAAGGACACTGAATATGTGAAGGAACATCATTCGACGTGCGCGATGTGCTCGGCCGGGGCCCTCTGGGGCCGAGTTCGTGTCAAAGAGTTTTTCCTCATGTTATTGTTTCGCCGTCCGGCGGGAGCCGCACAGGAGCGAGGCAGGAAGGAAGACCTCCGAAGGACGGAAAACATCCATATTGGAAATGCTACTCAATTGGCAGGAAGGAATTGCAAAGAGGCCCCTTTCCATGCCTGCCTCCCTCATCCTTGTGTCCCTACAACCACAAAAAAAAACCCCAAAGCAGTCACTGTGAGAGGGATCTTGGAGTCTTAGAGGACAACCAGCTAAATAGGAGTCAACAGTGTGCGGCAGCAGCCAAAAAAGCCAATGCAATCCCAAGTTGCATTAACAGGAATACAATCAAGATCAAGTGAGGTACTGAGACCACTCTATAAAGCCTTAGTAAGGCCACACCTAGAGTCCTGCATCCAGTTTTGGTCACCACAATATAAAAAAGATGCTGAGACTCTGGAAAGAGGGCAGAGAAGAGCAACCAGGATGATAAGGGGACTGGAGACTAAAACATACGATGAACGGTTGCAGGAACTGGGCCTGGCTAGTCTAGGGAAGGGGAGACAGGAGAGCATCTTCCAATATTTGAGGGGCTGCCACAGAGAGGAGGAGGAAGGACTCAAGCTATTTTCCAAGGTACCTGAAGGCCAGAGAAGGAATAATGGATGGAAACTGAACAAGGAGAGATTCAACTTGGAAATAAGGAGGAATTTTCTGACAGGGAGAACAATCAACCCATGAAACAAGTTGTTGGAGCTTCATCCCTGAAAGCTTTTAAGAAAAGACTGGACCTGTCAGAAATGGTGTAGGGTCTCCTGCTTGGGCAGGGGGGTTGGACTAGATGACCTACAAGGTCCCTTCCAACTCTATTCTAATTGATTGATTCAACCTAGAAATAAGAAATTTTCTGACAGGGAGAACAATCGACCCATGGAACAGAAGTTGCCTTCGGAAGTTGTGGGAGCTTCATCCCTGGAAGCTTTCAAGAAGAGACTGGACGGCCATCTGTCAGAAATGGTGTAGGGTCTCCTGCTTGGGCGGGGGGAGGGGTTGGACTAGATGACCTACAAGGTCCCTTCCAACTCTGTTAATCTAATCCAAATCTTTAGTCAGCAGGAATAATGATGGTGTCAGGCTTCCGACGATTTCATTCTTGTGGGAGTCATCCTTCTGATGAAGCGGCTTCGTTTTATTTTGGCAAATCTGATTTCTTCATCCTACACATCTCCAGTGGGAAATATTATGTGTCTACACAAGTGTCCGGGGGAAACGGCCACCGGAACACGAGGAAGAAAGGAAGAATAGGAAAATATATATATAATATTATGTGTCTACACAAGTGTCCGGGGGAAACGGCCACCGCAACACGAGGAAGAAAGGAAGAATAGGAATATATATATATATATTTAAAAATCCACCTTTTTCTGCCAGGTTTTGATGGACGACAACTCAAACTAGAAAACACAGATGTGTCTGCTTTTGAGACAGAGCTGCGTTCACCTTCCTTCACCAAACCCCCATCAAATTTGCCATTTTTAATGTAACCGATTAAAGAAACAGTTTGACACAGGGACTACAAATTGTCTTATTAGCTGGGACGCATTTGAAAATGAAACTGGGTTTAGTTTCATCCTGGTTTTATGTGCTTCTTTCTCCAGATTCTCCTTGCTTTTGGAGAACTGGGCCTTCCGAGACCTAAAACTCTTACTGAATTGTCCTCAAATTCGAAACCCTGCAAGGGGACATCTTCTCAAGGCCTACTTCCCATGGAGACGTGGACATCTGCTAAGAGAAGAAAGCTAAGGAGATTCTCAGGAACGTCTTTTCCGTTTTGGGAAAATCTCTCTTTTGCCCCTGAATCCAAAAGCTTTTGCGCTCTTCCCTTCCTTCACCCCGTGGTAGCCTCCAGGAGGAACCTCTGGACTTGGAGGCCGCATGCCAATGCTTGGACCTGCTTTTTTGCAGCCAGCTGAATTCTCTTTATCTCTTGAACTTCCGTCTGGAAAGATAGGATTCTTCCTGCTTTCTCAACTCCTCTCGTTTATCTCCTTCCCTGGCGCAGACGGGTGGACGCCAGCCGTGCTCCGCCAAGTCAAAAGCCACATCAGCTTGGGATAACAGAGGAGATAAGATCCTTCGGGGTGGGGGAAGCTGTCGCTGTTCTGCATCAAAAATGACACCTCACCCACCATTATCCCACTTCTGACTTTTGGGCAGGGCCAGTTGGCTTCCGTTCTAAAACTAAATCCTCTTCCGTTGTCCTTGTGTACTTTCTCTAGCCATGGCTCCGTGCTCAGAGGTGTCCCCAGCCAAGGTCATGGTGCACGCCTTCCGGCTGGGCCACGGGGCCCACCCAGTGTGGCCCCTGTGGAGATGGAAGTGCAGGCATTGGCAAATTGTCACCATCACGAAGGGATCAGGACAATCAGGACAAAATGGAGACTCACCACTTTGAGCACGAGTTTCATTATGGGACACCATAATGCAAATTCTGTCTAAAGAAGGATAACATGATAGCGGTCTTTCAGTATTTGAGGGGCTGCCCCAAAGAAGAGGCAGGTCAACTTATTTTCCAAAGCACCAGAAGGCAAGATAAGAATCAAGGGATGGAATATAATCCAGGAGAGAATCAACCCAGAACTAAGTAGAAATTTCCTGAAAATGAGAACAATTAATCAAGTGGAACCGCTTCCCTCCAAAAGTTATGGATGCTCCATCACTGGAGGTTTTAAAGAAGATACTGGACAGCCACTTGTCTGAAATGGCCTAGGGCAGGGGTCTTCAAACTTGACTTGTGGACTTCAACTCCCAGAATTCCTCCTCCAGTCATGTTAGCTCAAGAATTCTGGGAAGTGAAGTCCACAAGTCTTAAACTTGGCAAGTTTTGAAGACCCTTGGCATAGGATCTCTCCTGCTTGAGCAGGGAATTGGAATATAAGGTTCCTTCCAACGCTGTTACTCTGTTATAAATGCTCACCAGAGGGCAGCAGGAGATATTGAAAACTCACTCTTTCCTGCCACCTAGTGGGTGTCGGATTTTTCACCTTTGGTAAATTAAAAAAAAAAAAAATCAAGACATGGCAGGATGGCTTTTGCCAAAGATAAAAGAGGCCAGCACCACAAAAGGAGAAGTGCTGAAAGAATTTTTGGGAAGGCTAAACCAGGCAGAAAGAGGAAAGAATAGCTCTCAACAGATTCTGAATCCAAGCCACACAAACGCCATCATGGAAGTGAGTCCTTTTGGATCACTTTGAGGGTGCATAAGGTCTAGGAGTTGAAAAGTGTTTTGAACCATCTGTGGGTGTTTAAAGGAACTTTCCATCTTCTAAGCTCAGCATCAGAAAGCTGATTTTGAAGAAAGAGGGTGCCTTCCCACAAACGGACGTATAAATGCATGGACCAGCTTTTCTGTGCAAAAGAGCAAATAAATGGATCGATTTTGTGTAGGGAAGAGTTGTCAACTCACTGTGGGATCCGGGGTTATAATTTTTCAGCATCACTTCTAAAGAGCCTTCGTAGCTTCGGAGTTTGCCGTTCTAAAAAGGAAGGGAAAAATACGTTCAATTCCTCTTTTTCTTTTATCTGCTTCATTTGGCAATAGTAAATTTCTTTTTTCCGGAGTTCTTAGGGACATTAGCACTGAACATCTTCCAACACAGACCAAGTACAGAAAACAAAGTTAATTCCTGTTATGCAAAGGAACACAGATAGTCCTCAACATACAACGTAACAGAGCCCAGAATGTTTGCACTGTAGGTCACAACGTTTGTAAATCGAGGCACTCATGGAGCCAACCCAATTTTACGAGATAAGAGATAGGATAGATAGATGTTAGACAGACAGGCAGACATAGAAATATATAGATAGCCCTTAGACTTATATTCTGCTTCACAGTGCTTTCCAGCCCTCTCTAAGCGGTTTACAGAGTCAGCCTATTTGCCCCCAACAATCTGGGTCCTCATTTTACCCATCTTGGAAGGACGGAAGGCTGAGTCAACTTTGAACTGGTCAAGATTGAACTCTTGGCAGTGGACAGAGTTAGCCTGTAATGCTGCATTCGAGCCACTGTGTCATCACAACAGAGAGATAGATAGAGAGATAGATAGATAGATACACAGACACAGACAGATGATAGGCAGACAGAGATCGATCAATAGCAATAACACTTAGACTTACATACCACTTCACAGCCCTCTCTAAACTGTTTATGGGGTCAGCCTCTTGCCCCCAACAGTCTGGGTCCTCATTTTAATGACCTCAGAAGGATGGAAGGCTGAGTCAACCTTGAGGCTGGTGAGATTTGAACTGCCAAATTGCAGGCAGTCAGCAGAAACGGCCTGCAGTGCTGCATTCTAGCCACTGCACCACCTCAGCTCTTCTGAAGAACATAATGAGAAATTCTGACATTTGGCCAAGGTGCTATCATTGAATGTCATTGGGAGGCAAAATTGCACAAGAGAACCCTCACTGATTTGGGCCATGTCGTGCCATGGAAACTCACTGAAGAAAGCAACAACGTTTGGAAGGATTTATGGTAAACAGGAAACCAGGCCATCAAAGAACATGGTGGCTGGACGCCATCAAAGCTGACCCTCCAGCCAATGCCTGGAGCCACTCAAAAGAAGTTTTGAAGGCAAGATCCAGAGAGACCTGGCCCGTGGGGATACCAAGACTGAATGGATAACCATCGCCATCCTCCACAAGACCAAGACAGTTCTTTGGAGGTCAACTCACCGAGGTGTTCAGGTGGACCACGCAAACTAGGGTGGCCGAATCAATGGACCACAGCTCTTCTTCTGGCTTGTAGGTGAAGCTGAAGCGTTGGGTCTTCGGGCTGGGGGATTTCAGGGTCGCCACCGAGTAGCTCAGAGAAACCCCTTGGTGGAAGAGCAGCTGAGGCGTGTTGTCTTGGGGTTTTAAGAAACAGTCCCCCATTTCTAGAGAAAACTGCTTCATGGCCGTTCGGAGCGAGACCTGTTGAGGAGGAAGGTGATGATGATGTTATTCATCATTTAATAATGCCGTAATCCCTTGCGGGGTGGAGTCTAGGCAACTGAACGGAGCTAGCAGAGTGTTTATTTGGCTGGTTGCCCTTCTTGTTGCCAGAGCGGAGTTTTTGTTCAGCAGATATATTCTCGTTGTGCCCAGAGAGAGAGAAATATCTGCCTAGGATCGAACTCACAGCCTCCTGATTGTGAGGCAAGAATTCCACCTCTAGGCCACCACAACACTCACTGAGGAGGAAGGTGACTGGGGGGGTGAGGGGACAAAGACAATCTTAGTCACAACATTATTTTCAAGGACACTGGTCTGAAATGAAGGTGGGTTTGGTTCCCCCGCTTCTCACCCCTTACTTTATCCCTGCATTAACCTATTTCCCATATTCAGATAACACTTGGACACCCTAGATTCGCCCACCAAACTCGGCTTGGCCAAGATGTGGAGCCACATCAAACTTAACAACAACCCCACTTTTCTTGCAAGTTAGTTTTTAAGTCTGCTGGTTTTGCCTGGTTGGGTCAAGGGTGTTTTCTGAACATTGCCTTCCTTTTTTGTGTGTGTGTAATAACTTTTTTATTATTTTTATATTTTAAATACATCTCTTTCAGTGAACGTGGTTCCAGGTTTATACTTCAACACAAACATGACCTTAGTACATATTTATCTTTCACATTCAATTCTATATCAAATCATTACTTCCATTTTCCAGTAAATTTTCTCCATTATTCTTATTTTCTTTATACTTACTAAATTCATTTTCAGTTTATATCTTATCTTAATTCCTTTTTTTATAAATGTTCTCAAATTTTATTCTATAGTCTTAACGTTCTTATTTTTTAATTCGAAATTCATTATGCCTTTATACTTTTATCAGTTGCATTTCCAATTTTGTCACATACTTTTATTTCATTCAATAAACTCCATCTTAAATCTAATAATTCCCCAAAATTTCCCCCTTTAAGTGTCAATTAGAGTGTGCCTCAATTTATTCCCCTTTAATCCATAATCAAAATTTATCATAATATAATCCCTATATAATTACTACATTCAATAATCTCTTAACTACTATATGTCACATGTGCATATATATATTTTAAGCAAGGTTCCGCATGGTATTCCCCTCAATTACTTTCTAAATCATTTGTTGTTTCAAATATATTGATCTATTCAGTTAATTATAGAAACTGGTATTAGTCTTTTCACTAGGATCCTCATAATTCACTTTAACTATATTCTTTGTTTTATTATCCATATATAAATTAACAACAATCCTTAAAGAAAAAGCCAATTAAAGAGAGAAAAAATATATCAATTTCATTCACATTTAAAAGCTACATTGTTCAATCGAACAACAATAATGGAACACCTCAGCTCTCAACACCCTTCACCCAAATCCACCAGACGGGCATTACCTCCACATAGGTAACTTGGTGAGCTTGTATCACCGGATTGCTCGGCGAGGCAAAATCTTCCGAGGTGTAGAGCTGGAGAGACACTTTCTCTGGTAGATCACATTCAAAGGGTACCTGCAGGATCAAAACGAGATCCGTTGATTGCTCCCCTTGGTGTGCAAGCAGATGAGTTTGTCTCGATCTGCAAATGGTGTCTGCAGCGTTTAAGAGGCTCAAATACGCCGACGGAAGAGAAGAGAATATGGGAGGGAATAAAATAGGAGAGGATAGAAAAGAAGAGAATATGGAGGAAAGAGGAGAGAAGAGGAAAGAGAAGAGGGGAGGGGAGGGGAGGGAGGAGAAGAGAAGGGAAGAGGGAAGGGAAGGGCAGAGGAAAAAATAGAATAAAAAATGGAATGGAATAGAATAGAATATGGAATGCAATGGAATAGAAATCAGAATAGAACAGAATTAGAACAGAATAGAATATGAAATGCAATGCAATAGAAATCAGAATAGAATTAGAATAGTATAGAATTAGAATTAGAATTAGAATAGAATAGAATAGAATAGAATAGAATAGAATAGAATAGAATAATTTATTGGCCAGGTGTGATTTGACACACAAGGAATTTGTCTTTGGTGCATATGGTCTCAGTGTACATAAAGAGAGGGGGGAAGTTTTGCAAAGAAGAAAAATTGCACATTTATAAATGAATCATGGATAAAACAAACGTTTGTGGGTTTGCCCCGATTCCTTTTTCCAAAGCAGAAAGGCGAGACTTTGCACTTCATAGGACTTTTCCAATTTTCCTAGAAAGAATTCTTTCTCATAAATCTTGTCTAGTAGTTTTCTCCTAACCCAGGGCCAAAATCTGCTTTGAAGAGGTGGCCTGCCAGTTGCCGACCATACAAATAATATTATCTAACATTATTAGGGATGAAATTAGGGATTTGCGTCAGTCCGTTGCATGACTCGAGAAAAGAAATAGCTCTTTTCTGTGTGTTTCAGCGTCCCCATTTTGCAAGGTTTAATTCTATATATGTGTAACAGGATGTCCCACTGAAACTCATGGCAGGTACGCCTAAAACTGCATGCTAAACAAATCAGAATCCTAAAAACACCCTTTTATCACCTCCTCTTCTGACATTTTTTTAAAAATAGCAATGGAAAAAGCCTGCAGTGTGTATTTGTCAAGGACCCCGCATTAAGCAGTAGCAAAAAGAATTCCCCAGAGTAAGAACAGCACAGCCTCAGGAAAGAAGATTGCAAACCGAGGAACTGGGAATTCGTTTTAGAGTGAAAAGAAATTTCTTCTTACCGTGACTTTCCCCGGAAACACAGGCAGTGTTAGGATGAGCTGGGATGATAGAAACAAACAAATAAATAAATACATACATACATACAGACTGACTGACTGACTGACTTATTTACTTATTGGATATACATGCCTTGAGTAATTTTGCTTTAAGAAAAAATAGTTGCACAAAATATCCTGCTATATTTGGGAGGCTTCAGGTCAGGATTTGGCTGGATTAAGGCCAGGATTTGGGAGGCTTCAAATTAGGATTTGGGGGGCTTCAGGCCAGGATTTGGGGGTTCCAGGCCAGGATTTTAGGGGAAACATATAAAAAAATACCGTACCTGGTTTTTCACATGGACTCCCCCTTCGAGTTGGGTGGAACATTTATCGAGGATGCTGTTGAGGACAAAGTGAGTTGTGTTGTCCCTGGCCCTGCAGCTGGGATCTTTCAAGGTGATGGCATCGACCCTTGTCGGTAAAGCCTAGAGGTTGCAAAGAGAAGGACAAACCATGGTTAGCTGGGAGTTGTTTCAACAGGGACAGCCCAAGGAGAGAACAAGCAAGCTTCTGGATTGAACAGAACTCTTCCAGCAGGGTTGCTGAAAAAAGAAGAATGGGGCTGGATTCCCAGGTTGTGCTTAACCTACGCAGCCTCTGACTCTGTTGGGGTGTATTGATCCAACCACTGTATTTTTTTGATCCATGGCAGTCTGCCTGGGGCTTCTGGGACGGTGTTCTGACCCAGGCTTCGTAAATCGTAACTAATCACAAACTAGTTTTAAAAGCAAAACCTATTTTATTGCAATGCTGGGAATGGTTTTCATTCCCAGCCAGAACTAATCTTAAAACAGTCCCCCAAGATAAGCACCCACCTTTCAGTGCTGTGGAATGCGGCCAAAAAAACAGAAGTATCCAATAAAAGAAACCAACCTAAGTACACAGAGCTTCAAGGAAGACTCGGAACCAATCGAACTACTTTGCTTCCTGCAAAGGTTTCATCATCTAGGCCTGACTTTTATCCCTTATGGGAGGGGCAATCACCTCCCAGCCTTACTCCCGAGTTGCCCCTTTTGTGCCTTCTGGCAGCTCTGTGCATACGCACACTGGGAACAGGCTCCCCTTGTTCCTCTGCCTCACTGCTGCCCGACTCCAGAGGCTCCAGAGTCAGCACCCCACTCCCAGATGGTCCTGGCCCCACGTCTGCATCGGATGCAGGACCCTCATCTGAGTCCTCCCCAGACTCCTTGACTGGTCCCCTTTCTTCCCCACCATCCGATTCTGCTGCCGTCTTCACCGCCTGCCGGTGAACCACAACAGATAGGTAGCCCAACCTCCATGGAAGAGTCCAAGTTGATTAACCTTGGCTGACCTTCCCGGAAAAGGGGAGCAGTCAAGGAAACTGAGGCCGAGCTGCCCAGGATCCCGGATGGACTTTCCTTACCGCCAGATAGATCTTGAGAAGAGCAATTTCGATGCTGCTATCCAAACACTTCCACGGCTTGCAAAGGTTAATGAGTTGGTGGACTTTCACGGTCAGGTTTTCTGCCGCCTGGGGTGGTGGGGTGGTGGTGACGACGGTTGAGCCTGTAGAACAGGACCCCCCCCCCCCCAAGATATGTGAGAACAGGACCTGGATATGAAATATTTTATGAGTTGACAGTAGGTTCTCCTGCTTGAGTAGGGGGCTGGACTAGAAGACCTCCAAGGTCCCTTCCAGCTCTATTCTGATTCTGAAAATGGGCTGTTTTGAGATAGCTATGTTCCAAATTTGGTTTCTTGGTTCTTTGTTTCTTCCAGAGCCCCATCAAGAGCTTCCCAACTTTTTAAGTTTCCCTAGAACAGTTGGAAACACCCAACTCAACAAACCACCTCAACTAGCCTTCTAACTGCATGGAAGCTAACTGGATCCCTTGAAGATCCCTGGATCTTCTCCTTGGCTGCCTCCGGCCCAGATCGTGTTGCGTTGACTCACCGCAAATCCTCTTGTATTCCAGGCTGATGGTTTTGGCCGAAGGGATTTCGGTGTAGGAAGCCACGAAGGAATTGTTGCGGGCCTTTTGAATCAGGCCCTCCTTGTTGTCTGGAAGGGTCGTACCGTTGTGCATCCCGGAGAAGGCAGCAAAGGAATATTTACCAGATACCTGAGGGAGGGAGAGAAAGAGAAGAGGAGGAGAAAGAAGGAGAAAGAGAAGACGGAGAAGAAGAAGGCAGAGAAGGAGGAGGAAGAGATGGAGAAAGAGGAGGAGGAGGAGGAGGAGAAGCCAGAGAAAAAGGAGAAAAAAGACGTGGAGAAGGAGAAAGAAAAGGCAGAAGAAGGGGGATGTGGAGGAGATGGAGAAGAAGAAAAGGGGGGAAGAAGAAATAGAGAAGAAGAAGAAGAAGGCGGAGGAGGAGGAGATGGAGGAGGAAAAAGAAGCGAAAGGAGAAGATGGAGGAGAAAAATTGGAGGAGAGATGGAGAAGGAGAAAAGACAAGGAAGAGAAGGAGACAGAAGGAAGAAGAGAAGGAGGAGAAGAAAAAGAAGGCTTTTTAAAAGGCTTTTTTCTGCAACAATTTTAAAATTAGTCTTAGAACTTATTTAGAATTACTGTCTTAGAAAAAAAAAAAAAAGAGCAAACAGCCCACACCCATTTTTAAGCCATTTCTTCTCCCTGGGTGGTTGCTGACATAACGCCCACTTTCCAAGAAACTTTTTCTTCTACAGAAACGAAGAAGAAAAGAAAGAGGAAAAAGAAAAAGAAAGAAAGAGGACAACGATTCCACAACCTGTTAGAGGGGTCTCCATTTCCCAGGCATCCCACTTTGACCCATGCAACATTTCCCAGTGTGAGCTCTTCCTCTCAAACGTAACTTGAAAGTTGGTGGGTCATTTTTAGAAAAGTTCCTTTCTAAGGGTTGAATCTCATCCACAAACAGAGTTTGTGGGAGTCCTTATCATTTGGCATTTCACTCCACACACCCCGGTAAAGTTTGTTTTGGCTAATTCGAAAAATCTGCCCCCTTAGGAAATTTGAAGTGTTCTTTTCGCCCATATATTTCCAAGAAGCGCAGAGTTGCATTAAAAAGAAAAGAGGGAGATTTCTTCCCCGGCATCCGTTCTTACCAAGAGTTGCACAAAGGAAAACCCGTGGCCCATTTTCCACAGCGTGTTTTGGTGGCTCTTCAGCCACAGAGCCAAAGGCACCTCCGCTTTATGCTCCGGACGTCCATCCTTGCAAACCGTTTTTACGTTCACCTCCACCGTCTGCATCCTGCAAACGAAACATCATCAAAAAGTGAAGACCGAATTTTTTAAAAATAGCTTTTCTTCTGAACTTTTAAGTTACAATTCAAACATGTTCTCCTCGGGGAGATACAACTTTGTCTAGAAGTTCAGAAAAAGTTGCAGTTATTCAACAAGAATGACCAAACTTTAATTTGGCCCTGTGGAGGATTTTGTGCTGTGATGATCTTAGCACAGGTTTCTCTTTTGGTTAACTTAATAGCTGGACAAAGTTTGCATAAAAATACACCCAGTTGTACACTTTATTTTCTTCTCTGGGATGAGAGAACCAAGATGGGGATAGCAATGGCACTCAGACTTATATACCACTGCACAGTGCTCTACAGCCCTTTTACGGTTTATAGATTCAGTTTTACGCCCCCAACAATCTGGTCCTCAGATAGATAGATACTGTAGATAGATACTGTAGATCGATCGATCGATAGATAGATAGAAAGATAGATAGATAGATAGATGCTGTAGATAGATGCTGTAGATAGATAGATACTGTTGATCAATAGATAGATAGATAGATAGATAGATAGATAGATAGATAGATAGATA